ACACTAGACGCAGACGGGGTTAAGGCAAAAATCAATGTTTATCAGCAAAGCAAGCACTGGTACACAGAGGGAAGACAGGCAGGATGACTGTGGGGTACTGTATGAGGTGAACGGATCTCAGGGTAATGATTTCAGATTGTGTTCGTCTGTCTGATTTAAGACAGAAGATAAGGAGTCTGTAGATTAGAGAAAGTCAAACGATTATTTGATTTATTTTTTGGCTATTTTTGACTTAGAAAGAAGACTTTTTTAATTTAATTGGCAATACGAAGTATAATTTTTTAAAGTTAAATTATAATTATTTTGACTTTTACTGCATGTAGGTTCTATTAAAGTATATAATGAATCTGAAAGCCCCCAGCTGGAATTTAAAGACTGTGCATGAAGCTGTAGTTGCAGTGGTACACCAGAGATTTAACAGCTGTAAACACAACATAAAATATTAAACAAAAATGCACAGAGGAACATCAAGGATGCTAGAATTAAGATGCCAGAACAGATCTTTCTTTTTTTTTTGAAGGTTTACAATGATGATATATAATTATGATGCATTGTATTCATGTCTTCTGCTATAATTGCAAGATTGCTGCAAATTATCTTTCTCATTAAGGACATACAGCCATCAAGTGTATACTAACAGCCCTCTTTAAGGATTACTGTCATATCAATTGACATCTTAATGGAGCCAACGTTGACCTAAAACAACAATCATAACGTCTGCGTCGATGACTGTAAAAGTGGGGATTTATTAGATTCTGGCATCGTATGAGTCACAGCCTAATGGGAAAAATGCACCGGGCAGAGAGGATGCAAACATCCATTCCACTGTGTACACCACCTTGTTCACATGTGTGTTAACGCATTAATATTATATGAAGACATACCATAAAACCGTGAGCATAACAGAAGAATACAAATGTAAAGGAAAAGGTGTATAGGGACATTTAAAAATATATGGTTAATCAGGTATTTATGGAAATGTTGATTTTTTTTCTCTATCTCTTTGAGACGTGAGAAATGATAAAAAGGACGGAACGGTGACAACAGCGGCAGGGCTAATCAGTGGGCGTACGAGACAGCAGCGGTTTTCAAATTACTACAGATCTTAAGTAATTAACTCACTTAATCATCATCATTAGGCTAAGATCACTGAAACGGAACAAGTCAGTATGTTATACAGTTTTTTTTGCATAATAAAGATCGATAGAGATCTTAATACCAGAGACACTGCAACGCAAAAGACAAGAGAAGCTGGGAGGAGATCAGGAGCATCAGTGGAATATCAAATATTCTCTTAATCTCAACAGTGATAAACGATTACTCCTGCGACTCCCAGGTGTGTGTCACTTTACCCACAGCTGTAACTCTGAATACAATTCACACACTCAAATGTCGGGTCACAAACATTCCAGCATTCTGTCAAATTAAAGCGGAGCGAAAACGATCTAAGACAGCAGGGTAGGCTTTTTTCCACAGAGAAGAATGAGAGCCATCAGTGAGACAGCTGAGAGTCTGAGAATAATTGTTCACAGTTCATGCATCGGCTTTAAATGAGAAAAACAAACAAGCAAACCATAATGACACCGTGCGCTGTGGGGCGCCAGCTCCCCACTAGTCTACTGAAATAGTTACTCACTGCCCCCACTGAACAAGCCATTATTATGCTGTTCATATTAAAAATTAAAGATAATTTAGTCATATTTTCAGTGTTTTCCTCTTGTGATTGTCATTAACGCTGTAAATGCTTTGAAAAGCATGTAACAACACATTAACTTAGCCGGAGCAGAATGCCTCGGTTCAACATGTGCACGTTTGTTCACTAGTGAATGGTGAGCATGAGGTCATTAAGACAAGACAAGAGAAATGTAGCTTTTTAGTGGCATCAAAAAAAGGTTGTAGATCTCTGTATGGGGAATGGAGACCTGTCCAGATGTGTTTTGGCTTTGGGGGGCTACTGTTCAAATGACCAGGCTGATGTCATTTACCTACATTCAAAACATTAAATATATATTTACTCATATAAATCAAACATACTTCATGTTTACGTTGTATGTTGGGATACTGATAAAATGCATGTAGCACTCTGGCACAGTAGGATTGAATTCTTACAGTACATGGTCACTACTACACACTACAGAAGTATATATATATATTTAAATTTGAATTGCTCATGATCTATTGGTGGGTCATGACCTTCAAATCTGACCAAACTCAGCTTTCCACTTTTTTACTGCACTCATCAGTTTTGTCCCTATGCTGAGACGACCGCTCGCTTCAAGGAAAGTTGACTGTCTTCCCCAGGGCTCAGGTCCCACAGTCCAAATACTTCCATAGATAGAGGACATATTGAAAAATCCTTCAAGTGCACTCACATACAGACAAAGACACACACATACAGTGCACACCAAAACCTGGCAAGTCCATCTGCCCACTGCCCCAATCACAGGCGGCAACACAACAGTGCTCTGCAGATGGATGGCAGGTTTGATAATGGTGGAAATGAACAAGGGGATCAGTGGAGCCTGTCCTGCTTTTTTTTCTTTTTCTTTCTGGTGTTATGACTTAAAACTGCTTTGAGAAGTGAATCATATTGAAGTCTGGAGATGAACAATCAACCTGGGACAAGGGTAGAACAGCACACAGAGGCCATGAACACCTCAATAGATCCTGCCTTCATTCAGGCAGTAACACTGCAGCTGCAGTGAAACTGTCCTTCTTTTTGAAGAGAATGATATTGTTTCATATTTTAGATTGAATTTTTAACAAACGCATGGTGGGGCGAAAAAAAAAAACACTTTTTGAGTGAAACAGTTTTGACATTGGAAAGACATTTGTTTGATTAAAAAATACAAAAAAATACAAAAGGAAAATGAATTAAAGAAATACCCTTTTGATGTCATTAATTTCTTTTTTTCTTCTTTTTTACAAGGACTTTTTTTGCATTTGGAAAATACATGGCGGCAAAAACACAGCAGCAACTTTAATGGATGTTGTAGCGTTGTGTGTCAATAAGGGAGGAATTTTAAGTGAAGATAAAAAGCATTTATTAATAAGTAAAAATCAATGACTCTTTAAGATTTTGAACAGAAGCAGCACTTGAGTAGAATTTCAAAATCCCAAAAAAATGTTCAGATTAATTTTTAATTTTCTGATAATCACACTGTGACCTCAAAGAATACATTCATTTATTTTTCATTTAATCCATGCATGGAAATATTGTTTGTGTTCTACATAAAGATCATGACATTTCTGTGTTTATGAAGTCTCAATACTTAGAATAAGAAAAAATAAAAGTGAATAAGACCTGATGTAAGTACTAGAAACTAATAGAAACTAGGATTGTTCAAATGAAAATGTATATCACAATAATCAACTAGTGAAATTAATCCCTTCCTCTAATGAACAGTCGATAGCCACGTCATTTACACACACTGTGTGAAAGATTTTTTTTTCACCAAAGCACTTTGCTTTAAATACACTTTCAATTCCCAAAATTCCCAAAATTCCCAAATCCAGCATAGTGCATCGAGAAATGACTCACACAAGAAAGGAAACAGATGCTGTAGGTTATTTGATGGATTCTTAATCTATTAAAATGATTAACTCTAGTTCCATCATTAATCTGTTTGTATTGACTTATGTTTGTCATATTTCTATGAAAAATAAAAGTTTTAATTCGACCTCCAGTCGTGCTGGTGCATAGTTTGCACCTCGGTGAGCTACGTTAACAGTGTTTCTCATTTTCAGTGTTTGTACACTGGTTGTTTAACACATTGGAGCCACCTTTAGTGCGACACATACGTCTCCATCTGTCTGCTGTCGACTGCTTGACATTCAACGACACAGATGGACACGTTGCCAAAAGTGATGGCTGTAAAAACAGGCTTCACTTTTCAAACAGCTTAATTACGGCAAAACTAAACTGTTATCATTTTTTTTTCTCATGGTGAAAACGCACAGTGTTTGCCACTTCACTAATTGGAAGAAACAGGAACCTGTCAGCTTGATTGTTCACAACTGGAATGTGTGACTTTCACTCTTAAAGGACCGCGGTCCACGTGAGGGTTTTCTCACCGCACTGATTTAATCCTTCACTGGGAACATTGAAGTGTGGGCTTCAGAGTGAGAAGAGAACAACCTGTACCTGACAGAAAGAAGTTTAATAATCAGAAATGTAAACGACAGGCAGATGAGAGCTGAGAGAGTCCCACTGATAGTGTATATTACGGCCAGCCTCTGTGATTACTTCTGTGTGGCAGCAGCAGACTGCCCACAGCCACACATGAACTCAGAGTAATGGGAGGGTGCAGTAGCTCAGCCAGGCGCTAACTCGAAAAAAAGCTCTACGTAAGAAACTGTGCTTTTCACTGAGGGCCACTGCTGTACAGTACAGACACATTAAGTGATGCCTTTGACTCTGGTCTGCTGTGATGTGGTGCCACCCAGCCCTTCTCCCCCTCTAATACGGTTCCACTTGACAACATAAACAACGTCTCAATTAGCGGGCTGTTTGTACAGACGTTTACAGCGTTTAATTCACCCCGGGTGTGGCCCGACCAAGACTATGTGGTCCACGGGCAAAAGGGAGTGAGAGTTTGTACTACTGGGCTCGACTATGACTGTGTGTACACAAGTGCAATAGGAGGCATGGAGGATCTAAAATTAGTTGTCAGCAGCTGATCAGCTCAGTTGTTCTGGAATCCGTTAACACTTCTAATGCTTTGATCCACAGATAAGGTTTAAGAGCGAAGGCAGCATCGACATGAGAGCGGATTAAGACAGAACTTGTGAAACTTTTTTGAGGACAGCGGAAAGAAAAGTTGGAGGAATTGAGAGGGGAAAAAAATCTAATGAACAACAGACACACAGGGAGAAGGAATAGCTTGAGGCAAGAAGGCCAGTAACTAGCCTGCAGAGAGACACAAAAGCCAGTTGGAGTGAGATAAGAGAAACGTCCAGAGGCTGAGATAGCTGGAGAGAGAACTCTTCCACTCACTCACCATCAGTGGAGCAGCCCGTGGATCCATCACTGGAGCAGTAGCGCATCTCAATCCTCTGTCTTCCCACTTCTAAGAGGCTGGGGTCTGGGATGCGAGCTTTGCACGTGTAGCGGAAACGCTGCTCGTAGTGGCCGCCGTTGTCGGAAATGTTCACAGGTGTCCAAGGAGTCCAGGGTGTTGTTTTCTTCAGGTCAGGACAGGGCAGGGTGTTACACGGCTGGTATTCCTGTGGGCACAATGAGAGATGTTTTAAAAACATTCAGTTTGAGTCTAGTCAAACTTGAGATTTTACTGCAAGGATATTTATAAGCAGATAAGAAGCAGTATAAAAAAAGATAAACACCAATAAATGCTTGTCTAATTTCTACAGAAATATTTTCTACAGAAATCATAACAGACCTGAAATAGCTTTTAAAAACATCAAATTAGTTTTATGAGAGAAATAATGAACCTTTTTTTGGAGGCTTTTCTATTTGATTTCTTGATTCCAGTTCTGTCATTTATACAATGCCCCCTCCTCTGTACACCTCTGATTAAAAGCAGCTCTGTTTACTTGTCCCTGACCGACACGTACACAGTGACTCCAGCAAGGCTATACATGGAGAGAGGCAAATAAGCCAGCGTGAAGGGGTCGACGGTCTAGTCTAATTTATGTGTGATAGGATGAAGGCAAGAGAGAGGAGAGAGTGATAGGAAGGGAGGGAGTTAATAAAGGGAGGTGAAGACATGGAAAGAGAGAAAAGGAAGGCAATAATGCTGCTTCTTTTTTTCCATCTGCTTCTGACTCTTAGAGCCAGGGCAGTCGAAATGAAAAACACGTCACTGAAGCTCTAACAATATGATATGTGCTTCTCATTCTCCATGTACCCCTCCCCAACCCCACCATCCCTTCCCTCTGCAAATCAAAACTACTAGTCAAAAAAAAAAAATCCAGCATCTTCTGGGGCCACTGCTTTTGATGATGCGATTCCAGAAGATGAAAGGTGGATAATCAGTCAATGGTCTGGGCTGCATTTATGCAAAGCTAAATAAATAAGGAGGTGATGGTGCCGATGGATCTGGTGAAAATGACACCGGAGAGGAGAAGGCGAGATGACTGTCATTTTCTTCACCACTTGTTTATTTATGCTGAATGGGCCTTGAGTGACTGCCAGACCTTGACAAAATAAGATAAGAGATCCTTTCAGCCCATTCGTCAGCTTGTCACAGGGGGCAGGCAGACGGGTCAGCTGAGGAGAGCATTATACATCAAAAAGAATGTTTTGGTCTTTTTGGTCTCTATTCCCATTTATCTATTTATCTCCAGTCGTGTATATATATATATATATATAAATATATATATATAAATAATATATAAATATACAGTATATCTATTTTTTCTTTTCAACACAGTGTTCATAAGTTGCTTTGTGTCACATCCATTTCTTCCCTTTTCTTGCTCCTGTTGTGTTTATCACTGTTTCATCTCTGTCGCTGACGCTACACCTTCCTCTGTCTCTCCCTCCTCCGGCGGACTCTTCCTGCTCATCCTCCCTGGGGCAGCAAGGTTAAAAACACAGGGAGGATTTGGATTCTGTGAGGACTCTGTGATGAATGAGGGCGCCACCACCGTCGCTGCACTCCCTCCCCTCGCCCCCCCCCCTTCTCTCTATCTCCCCCAGTAATCATACCCAGACATTAATATTTAACATGATCACGTATCAGCGGCCATCCCACCGTCTCTGATCATCAGCCAATGAGGAAAAGGAAGATGAAAAAAATGGCGTGGCTTTGTTGATGCCTACAGTGTCAGAAAAACAAACGTGGTATGAATGGGAGAAAAAGGCAAACGATCTGTGGGTGTTTGTTGTGTTAAGTTGTTGAAGGTGGCCAAACACAATACATATATAATGAGGCTTGTCTAGTAAGCATTTTTTTCCCTCTCTCTCCCTGCACTCTCTGAGGATTAGTGTTGATGAACAGGGTTAAGGAGATAATTATTGGGATTTAAGTGAAACCTCATTCAAACTCTCCAGAATACTTTCACATCAACTCCAGCCAAACTTTAAATGTGTGAAATGATAAGTGAAAATGATTTGTGACTGTCGCGTTTTATACGTACATTTTTGTACAAAGTGATATTATTTTAACAAATGTCTTGAAAATCTATAGGGCTGATATGTCGGGGGTGTGATTGTACAAATTATCATAAAAAGTGTTAATTTTGACAGTCGGTTTTGACTCACTCTATACTGAATTGGGAGTTTTAATTTAAGTTATGTGTGTGTGAATGGAATTTTGACATTATTCCAGTTGACTAAATCTAATTGGATTTATTTGACCCCGAAGGCAACGAGAAAAATTTATCAATTTTAAAATAAAATAAACCCTCTGGTTATCAATTCTCCATTTGGCTTCTATAGCATTCAGGAGTTTTAATTAAAGATAACGTTTTGAACCATTGTTTTATTGAAGAAAAAAAATTGTATATAAAGTATCTGTTCAATGCTACATCACACTGTCAAAAATTGACCAGACTATTGCTGCTCAATCAATACAATTGGATGACCTTGGGACCAAATGTCCCATCTATCTTATTCAGTATTGAACAATGCATCCAAACATTTCATCCTCTACATTCACACCATCTCCTGACTTTCTATTTGGTCTTTGTTCGGTTTCTTCTTACAGAGAAACCACATTTGACTTTGACAAAAATCTGAAGTCAACACAATTAACACTGCACTGCCCTCCCTTAGTTTGATGAACACGCTGGTAAACCTTCAAATCAATACAATTAGTTAATGTAGGAGAACCAGACGGACAAATCAACTAAAGTTTGTTCAGTCCTGCAGTGTTTTTTTTCTCTGGACAGCATTATCATATATTATTGTCAGGTATCAACATTAGTGCTGCAGTGTTTCTCCCCTTTTGCAGTGCCCTCCACTTCTCTCTCTCTCTGTCTCTCTCTGCCTGTCCAACATTGGAGGTTCACATAGATGGAGGAGCAGGTGATAAAGGAGGCCAGAGCATCATTCATTAACAGTCACAGCAGCAGCAGCAGTGTGGGCTATGTTGTGTTTTTTCTATTTTGTTGCATTAGTTTAAACTGAAGAACTCTCAAGAGCCTTGTGTGACATCATGGTGCGACTGAGGCGACTGTTTGTTTGCTTGTGCTCTAACATTCATCTTTTAATGGCTCTTGAGAATGGCCTGGGCCCATAAAGAGAAAAATGGTGAACCATTACACCCACTAACAGTGTTTAAAAGATAGTGGACGCAGTTTAATGAGCCTCATTAAGGCCATTATAGCATGCAAATACAAAAATTACATTATATAAGAAAAAACAAAGATGATATAAAACTTTCACTTAATATTGTAGTTAAAACTGAGACCAAAAAACATTCAACTAAGTTAGCCATTCACATCAAGTGCATTGGTCATTTATCTGCAACAGAAAAGACTGAGTTGCATTTGGATAAAGATCAGACTGACTGTTGAGATACTACACCAAAAAGAAAAAAGAAAACAAGACACAATCAAAAAGTTCATTCTAGTTATTACCAGCTGCTATTGGAAGTTAACCAAACCCCAGGAACAAGTGGAACACAACAAGAGAAACAACGCTTCCGATGTTTCCAGTTTCCTTCACTCTGCTCACTGTTCAGTTCAATTCCAAAGAAATTAGACAAAAATGAAAACAAAGCAGAAAGCAGTGAGATGTGACAAGTGGCATGTGAAACACAAAATTGGATTCAATTAGTTTGCTGAATTCGACTCATATCTGCAAAAACCCCAGTGCCCTTCATTCTTCCCTCTGGGCTCAAGCTGTGTGCTCATTTTGTGCATTGTGGACAAATGGAAAGCAAAGATTTTATGGTGTGTCCCACACCTTCAGCAGACATCTGCTCAGAGTCTGACTGGAGGAGAATACAGGACATGATCTTTTAATGTCGGATGAGTACAGTCAATACAGGTGGGATGGTCAGGTGTGGGGGGAAGCCAACGTTTGTGAAGATGCTTAAAATTAGTAGCATTACGCCTCCCTAGAGCTGTGCGTAGTGTTTGCACAGTTATAAGTGTATGCATGGCTGAACTTTGGATTCAGGCAGTTTCTTATTTATTCTGTGTCCATCCACAAAGTTTTCTGCTCACTCTCTGGGTGTTCCATACCGAAAGAGAGGGAGAGAGAGAGAGAGAGAGAGAGAGAGAGAGAGAGAGAGTCGGGATATGGTGCAGGAAGTCTCAACTCCCAACCTCTTATTTTTTATTGAGAAATGCATTAATGTGGTTGGAGGGTGGAATATATTGCACATCTATACCTGTGTTTCCCTCTTCTCCCCCTCTCCCTCTCGCCGAGTGTCTGCGACACAAACAAAATCATATGCAGCAGCAAGTATATAGGTGTATATACAATAGACATGATACTACCTTGTACTATGTAGTACCTTGACGGTCATGTGACTGGACCAGATGTGAGACGTTAGACTGAATAATCACCTCCAGTCCCCACATCTCCATCCTTTACGGCGGAGTCAGTGGAAATGAAGGCCCTAATGTTCCTCCAGTCTCCGTGACACATCACTTTAATTAGCAGCGCCGACCAAAACACATTTAGTCAAACGTAGACTCCTCTCTCTGTCTGCCCACCCGTCTGACTTCATAATGAAGACTGCTGTCGGGCCGCTTGCACACACGCATGCAAACACACGCCGTACACACAAAGCCTAACAGAGAATAATAGAGAGAACGCACTGCTTGTGACCACACATAATTCTGCCTGCAAAAAAACATGCAGTGAATGGCTCTCAACTCACTTCATCACTGCTCCAAATCTCAGCTCCTCGCAGGTAAATACTGCACCTTTCAATATCATTATCATTACTTCTCCATGGCCAAAGCCTGACTTTTCAGACGGAGTCAGGAGGAGCATTTAGCTGAGAGTAATGCTGTCTTTCTATATCATAAAATGTCTCGTTGAAACATTCTCTATCATCAAATCTCTATAATAGGTCCTGAGACCTATTTTTATTCAAAGAACCTAAAATATTGCTGGTCATAGTTGAACTCTTGCACAATTTCACTGCATTAATACAAAACAACGCGCACAAATGTAGGTATATTAATGCACAGGGATATAATTATTAAAGTACAGAAACCTCTTTTGTTATATCTAATTCCATCCCTGCTTGTCTGACTGAGTCACCACATAGTGATAGAACTGTGGAATTACAGGTAAAAAATAAAACCCTTTTGCATGCAGCTCAGATTTGTCCAGATTTAAGAAAAAAAAAACTTCTTATTCTTCTTATCTTTCATGAGGCAACATTTAGTGATGAGTGAGGCAGGGTGGGTTTGTGAGGTGAAACAATGAAGTTTAAATTAAACCGTCCTTGGCCTGAATCTCTATGAGATTCACACCCTATCCCCCCCCACCCCCCACCCCCCAGTGTAAATCCAGTCTGGGCAGGTTACCAACTGTAAAAACACACAGAGGCTGACACATTAGAAATACTAAACTGTATCTTTTCAACACGAGAGAAGCTAAAGGGATTTAGTTGGCAAATGTTTGTGTGTAGAAGAAAGTTTTTTTTTTTTACCTGTAATGAAGAAACTAATCCTTGAGAATCAAATATTTAATTCCATATCTCTTAGTTACGATGGAGTTATGAAAACCAAAGTGCATATGAACTGCTTCTAATAAAAACCTACCACGTACAACTTCTCTGTCCAAACTTATATCAAGACCAAAACCAAAGTCTTCTCCGCATTTCTGCTGACATACAAACGCACCCACAGTCATGAGGTCTTACCCCACTAAACCTTGGCAACACTCACTCCAACCTGGATTGTCTCTGGATCCTTTTTTAGACACACATTTTAAAACAAATTTCTTCCAGGACCTGTAAACCTTTCAATGCCCTGGCCCCTTCTGCATCACCCAAGCCTGGAAGCTGTGACCAACCCTCAGACACCTGTCTGCTCTGGGGGCAGAGCTTTTAGTTTGACAAATCACCACCCTCAATGTCTCTCTCTATTCTCCATCATCTTAGAAAACCTACCTCTTCATGGCCAAAGGGACATGGATACATTTTCTGCTTCATTTGTGCTTTTTCTTAAGCATCATTTGGTTTCTCAGGAACTATGTAGGTTAGACTTGGTTGTGGTACATCACTTGTGCTTAACTTTTTGTGCTAGAAGAACGAAAAAAAACAAACAAACAAAAAAAAAACACACCATGCTATAACGTCACGTCTCCTTCAGGAAGTCAGTGTCTCATATCGCAGTCTGCTGCTGCATTTACAATGTTACCTGAGGCAGTCCTATACACAGAGACAGCCATACAGAACTATCTATTTTGTGGAGAAACCCTGTTGAGAACTTCAGGGCTAGAACTCATCTGAGGCGGTCTGAAGAAAAACAAAAGGTCAATGAGATTGGTTGGTACCAAAAACAAATGATGTCATGAATTCTAAATGTTTCTCACATTATCTTTCTGCTCATTAAGACTAAAACTCTCACCCTCCAGTGTACTGGTTAACTCAGTGACACTTTGATTACTCTGTTTCACTGAAAAGTTTTTCCTCCTTGTCAATTCTCCCTGATCTTTGTAAAACACCAAGCAGATGTTGGCTGGTCGCGCTGCATTCATGTTTCATAAATGCCTGCAGCTGACCACAGGTGGCAGCAGCGTCCCTGGCCCTGACAGGTAAACATGAACTCACAAACACACACACACACACACACACACACACACACACACACGTCAAAGACAGGCACAACTTTCTTCTCTTCAGTTCTCAGCAGGGTGTATGATTAAATAAAAAAAGTGTAGCTGAGTTTGACTCGCTGTATGTGGTGTGTGTGTGTGTGTGTGTGTGTGTGGTCTCCTTCTGTTTAATTAAACATGCTTGTGTCCAGGGGTAGAGAACACACAGACAGATGGCACATAAAAACACTCACATCACACTTATCTCTTATTTTGTGGAGGGTGGTCTCCACCACTAAGCTGTGGGAGCACATTTTCATCATCCTTACTCTGACACACTCGCAATAACTTTTCTTTGTAAAAAGTCAATTTTGGCCTTGTCGGACTTTTACAGTTCCCCCTCTAAAACGCTTAAGCTGCAGCTCTTTAGGGGCTTTAAGTGCATTGAGTCAAGTGTTATGGATTAACAGCTGTGCAATTAAGCACCTTATCACAGCAGTAAAATGTAAAGCAGGAAATTAAGGGTTTTTTTGTTTCCATTTTATCCGTCTAAAAGCTGCGTTAACACAGGTTTGCTTCGCTGTCCAGACGCAACTTCCTCCCAGAGAAATGAGTGAGAAAGTCTGCTTCTAATTGCATGTCTCACGTTTGCGATAACCCCAATTAAGATAAGAAAATGCAGCAAACAAGATCATGACAATTTAACTCAAAAGAAAAGTGGAAAAAAACAGCCGCAGCACTGAGACACCGAGGAACACATTTGTCATAAATTTGAATCTTTCGCCGCCCTCTCTGACTTCACTCAACTCTCGTTCTCCTCTCCTCCTCTGTAACTGACCAACACACTGTCCTCTCCCAGGACACACATGAAAAAAACAAACAAAATGTTGTCAAATTCCCCCCCCCCCCCCACACACACACACACACCCTGGTGTCTCTCCAGGAATGCTGCTACATTCCCAGAATACTGCAGTGAGGATAATGGTTGCAGCACATTGACAGAAATAAGACAGCTGTCATCTGTGGGGGAGTATTTGTGTGTGTGAGACAGAAGAGAGATGAGGGTGTGACTCTGCCACTGCTGCTTAATGGGAGGTCAGTCTTTTCATTTGGGCGTTCTTCTCGGCGTCTGCAGCCTCTCGTGTGTCACCGACAATCATATGATACCAGGCTGTAAATGCTCCTCAGGCTGTAAGGCCTGGTCTGGGACGTTTTACACTGTGTACTGGTGAACCAAGTTGTACATCGGACCATTACACAACCTGCACCGTGTGTTATAGAAATGTGATTCAGGTTACTTTAAAATCCCCTTGAATACATCAAGGTTATTTGAAACTTTGATAAATTCAACAAAAATAAACTTCATTTTAACATCCATGCTTTTGTCTTTTTAATTATACTGGGAATTTAATAGGGAAAAAACAGTCAAGGTCATCTGTTTTGTCCAATAGAACACAATGTTTTCATTTAAAAGTTTTTGGTGTGTTGGACACGGTTTTAGTTATTTGGTTATTTTATTAAAATTAAGAATCAAGTTTCAACAATTGTTCATCTTTTTAAACGCAATTAACCAACCCATCAATAAAAGGAAGGTTGGTGATAATTTCAAAGTTAAAAACACAGTGTAGACACAAAGCTTCTCGAAAATTATAAGTAAAAATGAACACAAAAAAACCCTGTAAGTTAGTTGAGGTTGGTCAAATTCTAAAATCTGGGTGAAGAAAAATTCAAAATATATTCAAAAGAAAGAATTTGAAAAATCTACTTTAGCAATGATTCAAGAAAATTTTCAAAATGTTTCTGTTGTAAAAAAATTCCACAATATTTTCGAGGGTAATGATTTGCCCCTGGGGTAGATAAACTGTATCTGCTTTTACAAGAATTCACATACTTAATTCTGCTGTAATAATAATAATAAAAGAAGAACTAATTTTAGGCACACAGGAAACCTGTGATGTCAAAATATGAAATGTTTTTTTCATTTGCATAGCTTTTCTTACCAGTTAAAGTCTTAGACTTATATTTAAAGTACATGTGTGTGACCTACATCCACCCAGAGTCCCTGACCTATTTTCTTTAACTGATTTTCGAAGGGACACGTGAGGCTTCAACCATCATTCTTTTTATTTTTGCACGACTGGATGAAGGATTTGTCTTTAAGTGACCATGCATGCATGCATGCATGTGTATGTGTGTGTGTGTGTGTGAATGTGTGTGTGAAGGTGTAAAGAGACAGTGCTAGAAATAACACCAGTATCACATCATTCTGTCAACAACAGAAGCGCTCGTGTTTCCACGTTCACTTGCATCATCTGTGCTGGGGAGAAAAGTTTCTGGCAAAACAAAAGAAATAATAAGCCTATTCATATGTTGTGTGATTAGTGAATGTGTGTATGGTATTAAATAGGTCTGGGTAATAAAGCTGAGGGCTGCTGCCACTGTGTAACTGCAGCCTGAGGATTTAGTCATGTCAGTGTTCCAGTTTCATCACGACAAGCAGTTTGTTGCATCAAATGACTGAGTCTGAGATCCAAACAATGGACAGTCAGAGCGAGAGAGAGAGGGAGAGAGAGAGAGAGAGGCAGGGATGGTGCATGTGAGAGCTATTGTGTGTCGTGACAGACCTGACCACACCCTGGACAGTCATTGCCGTTTTCGCAGGTTCTGCGTCTTGTTTGGATGCCTCCGCCACAGGGTACGTTGCAGCGTTCCCATGCAGACCAGGCCGACCAGTAGACGTGGGGAGGGCAGGGCAGGTGTTCATTACAGTATCTGGACAGGAAGAAATTAGGAAGAGTTACAGACGCAATAGTTAGAATAATGTGTTTTACTGCGTCTTTGGTCATGTTCAAGGGTACATAGAAATAGATAGAAAGAAGGATAGAAAGATGGATGGATAGATAGATAGATAGATAGATAGATAGATAGATAGACATACACATAGAGAGACAGACAGATAGATACATTAAACAGATGATCAGTAATTTCCAAATGAATTACCCAATAAAAATGTGAAGTCCTCCTATAGAGACGATCTTTGCTGCCAGCACTAATTATAAATTCCCTCCTATAATAAACAGCGTACTTCTAGCTAAGTGCTTCTCATGTTCGAAAATTAAGCCTATCAATCACTTGACCATCGTTTGAGTGGCTCATTCCAAATCAGTGGAGTAAAATAATTTCTACCCGACGTGGTGCACAGCTCTGAGGACAACACTAGGTTCTTTTCCTTTACATTATTTTAGGTGTAAAATAACACTGATCAACTCCAGGTCTACATCTCCACACCACAGACGTGAATCCAGAGCTAACTAAGGTTAGGTTAGACACAGTTACATCACCAAAGCTGTAAAGCAAAAAGGGTTAGAGCAGGAACAGACCTTTGGGCTTTGGGTTGAAATACATTATAAACTAAGTCACTAAAAGTTACACACTAAATAAAAAACACAACTTGACCTCAACCTAAATCTGCAGCCAAAAGACATTTAGTAAATAAGCTGTGTTTACACACACAAGTGTGAGTAAGAATCAATATAGAGAAATCTTTAACCTGACTTTCGGGTGCTGTCTGGGAAATATGCTCTAAAATATTTGCCCAGTCCTTCACTGAAACCACAAGTGGAATGCTTCACTTGCAGCCTGTAAGATCTGTCTGTGGATCAGTGGGAGGCACTGTTCTTTAAGCTGGAAGGGTTGTAGGTTGGATTCTAGGCTCTGACAGACTACATGTTGAGCCCCTTGACATTGTCAAGTACATGATGGCAAAAAAAAAAAAAAAAAAAAAAAACAGTAGCAGGTGATTTTATACTATAAAATACTGTTGAGGACAATGGCTAAAATCCTTAAAATGTACTGTGCAAAATTTAGTACATTTTCCATATTAATAATTCCATCATTTGGATTTGTTGCAAATGAAAACACATAAAAAGAGTAAGAACAAGTATAACTAACAGCTATCCTGGGATTAATCAGATTAAAAAGTCGTAATTTGTATAGTCAGCACATTTTTGCAGTTACTGATTGGTTGCTCTGAAGTGTCAGGACAACCGTTGAATCTGCAGTAAAAGTTTCAACTCCTTTTTCTTCAGTGGAAGCAAAAAAGGCAATTAAGAGATTTCACCACACTCGTGAAACTTTGCACTTGAATTAACCAAAATAACTACAAAGTGTTTCTACCACATGGCTGGGTTTAATTAACCATGTAAACTTGCTGTTTACATGCTGTTTACAGATTTTTATTTTTACAAATCTAACCGTGTTGCTGTGATGTGGTCATGGAGCGGAGGGAAGTGTGATCATGAACCTCCCTGCACCAGACACGTATCTTAGACGGCTGGTGTTGGGTGCAACGGTCAACGCTGTATTAAACTGCACCTCGTAAAATTCTTCCTCATTGTAATGAACATGCATATGCATTTTGCATAATTAATGGATGCCGGCCATTAAAAAAGCCCCAAAGATGCGTGTATCATCTCTAATTACATCTTTTTACAGGACAGCATTATTACAATGTCTAAAATACTTAATTACTCAGTCCTCGTTATACAACAACGATAGACGATCGCCAGCCTTATTAGCGCTTTATAATTTATTTTATAACTTTTATGCAAACCATAAAATTGCTTTTTATTGCTGTTTTGTTGTCTTCTGGCACGGGGCTGCCTTTTGGGTGAAAAGTGAATCCTCTTGTGCTAAAACAGCTTTGAAAAAATACTCTCTCTCAAGAAGCTGAGTCTGGATATTCCCTGTATGTTATTGCCAAACACTCTGCTATTGGCTGTTGTAAACAAAAATGCTTAATTCTGTACACACTGGTTGTAAGTCATCCGCAGAGCAGTGTGTTATGGGATGATACAAGGGGGAAAAATGAGGAGTAGCTGGGATTAGAAATCCAGCGGATGCCTATGAGTGAGACAAAAGTGAACCAACAGCCTTCATACCACCCCGGGTGCTCTAACGCATGCAGACACGAGCATGCTCCAACTGCACAACAGCACAATGACAACCTGCTGTGATCAATACAGAGCTGAGTCAGAACTTGAAAATCATGTACGGTGTAATCGTTTCAGATGAGGTGGCGTCGCTCCATCTTAGCTGATCCCATTCTTCTGAAACTGAAACAACTAAGAGCTGATCAAACTAAAACATCACTAATTACTCACTACGGGCTGAGCAAGCAGTGTGGACCACGTCACAGTGCTCCGAGAAATTGGAACAGAAGGTTCATAAACGCAGGCATTAACTTAGCCAGATTTAGGCCCGTAGCACTGCTGTGCGCAGCCGGTTTCAGAACATTTGCTTCATCTTTAAAAGCCCAACCTGCTGCAGACAATACGGAGCCAAACGTATGGGAAGCCTGTTGGCTAAAATGGAAGCACATGAGAGGTGAGAGAGAGCGGGCTGAATGTGGTAGAAGTGTCTTTGTAAACACCAGTTCCTGTGATCGCATGAGCTCACGGCATATGCACGGTTGTTCAAACATAAGGCCTCCAAATTGATTCAAATAGGCAATTTGAGGTAACGGAAAAAAAAGAGCGTAGAGTGAGACATAACTCAGACGTCTGAGGCCCGTGCCTCTTAAAATAAAAGCCTTTAGTGGCATCAAAAGAATGATTCAGGGAGCGTGAGTTGACATGAGCTCCATTTCAATTTTAATCTACGTGGATTAAAGCTTTCGTAGGAGACTTTGACTATTTAACACATACGTTTGTCAGCTGTCAACTGCTGGAGTCTTTGGACACAATGACACAGGTTAACTGGACCATAATGAAGGGAGGTCATGCACTGATATGGAAATGCTAACATTGATACAACATCTTCTTAGACATTAATGACTCCTTAGCTACAGATTATCTCCGGGAATAACACGAGCGTCGACACACTTTGAGTCCTTATCTGTCCTTCTTATTGTTCATCTGTCTGTTTTTAGCACTCCTGCTCTGCTGCCTCCTCCACACAGATCCTTACAGCTGGTCCCCTCACTGGCCTAAGGTGTTTTAAATAGCTGAACGGAGCAAGAACAGAGGAGGAGATGAAACAAAGAAGATTAAAGCTCAAACAGAGAGAAAAAAGCGGGGGTGGGAAAAACTGCTTCTGGTCTCCCATGGTACCAGCCAGCATCTTCTTGTGTGTGTGTGTGTGTGTGTGAGTGGTTCGTGAGTAATCGGGGCGTACTGGTCACTACATATACTTTCCTCACAGCTCCAGGAGTAGCAGAACCTTTTTCCCCCCATGCTCCACTGGGAGCATTAGTGAGTAAGAAAAAGTGAAGATTGGAGGATGGCAAAAGAAAAGAGGAAATGAAAAAGCGCAGAGAAAGGAAGTGAAGAAAGGGATGCAATATAAGGTTCATCCTGGAAGGCCGTATCCAATTACATGACCATTGCAATAGTTTTTCTGCTTCTGCGGTAATAATTGGTAGGAATTTCTTTCCTCGTCTTTCTGTTCCAGTGCCATCTGAAGTGTAATTTTGCACTGGTTGATGGGAGCAGGTGGATGAAAATGTGGCGATAGAAAACGCAGGCACAGGAAGGGGACAAAAGAAAACACACTGTAATAAAACGGATGCAAAATAATGTAATACAACGGGCGCCATCGGACTTTTACACACACACTCGGTGTTATGAAAACTGTGCTCTGTGTTTCTGCTGACACGGCAGCAGTGTCGCACAGAACCTTTGAGCAACCCAAATAAATTAAAAGTGGGATAAAAACTTAGTGAATGCTTGACCTTTTTCTACCTGCAACGCCTCGTATCCACGCTGTAAATCTTTATGTGCTTCTTCACATACTTTGTCTGTGAGAAAAAAAAAGTTTCCTGCCCAGGAGGTTGCTAAGAGACCAAACAAATATCTTCACCAGGACTATTATTCTACACTAATGCTGCAAAATGTGGATGCAGTCTGTGTGTGAAGTCAGATAATCACCCAGGCACTGGCCTATCCCTCTCACTCTCTAATTGGCTGTCACCAATTTGGACAGATGTGAAAGAATAAAATAAAGAAAAGGAAAAAGTCACAGTCAAAGTCATACTTACTAATTGTAGGTTTGGAGCAAAACATCTCTTTGTTGTTTCACAGAAACTAAAACATTTTGTTATCAGTGTGTGTTTTGTTCTGCTGATGTTTGGTCGTTTACCTCTCTTCACGGTTCTGGCCCACACACACTCGCCCTCCGTGGCGAGGGGTTGGGTTGCTGCAGGACCGCTGTCGGACCTGGAAGCCGATGCCACAACTGGTGCTGCAGGGAGACCAGAGGGTCCACGGGGTCCACGCTCCGTTTCTATGGAGACATAATGTGCGACATCTTTATTAGTGACTCCGGGCATTACCAGGTGGGCTGATAATCACACTGTAAATAACAACAAAACACAGCTACATATAGAGGCAATTAATAAAAGCCTCATTTAATCCAGTTTCCATTTAGGCCTCCTGACATCCATTCTTCTCACAGGTTATAGTTAAATAATTTAGAATAAATTTATCTTTTTAAAAAATAACAACACCTGCTCTAATTGCATAATGTAGAAGAGAAAAAGCAGACTGAACCAGCTGTGGTCGCAAAGTGGGGACCCAAAGGTAGACATAGCTGACTTTTCATTATTTATTTAATTCCATAATAATTAAAAACTATGAAGAATTGAAGTTAAATCGCTATAAATCCATGATGTCAGTAATTTCAAGTCTTCCTTGATAGAACATATTGTCATTCTGTAAATATTGTAGAAAAATGTATTTCAAAGATTTCTCTCACCTGCCATGATTTATCTTATATTTTTTAAACAATAAGAACATGCATTACTACAGCGCCTGCGTGTTCTACTTGAAATGACTTCAAACAATATGATGAATTCTTCGTGAACTATGAGTTGATACTGTTAATAGAGTCAGAAGTATATTTACAGATCTATTCTTCCCTCCTTCCACCTCCGGGGGCAGTTACTTGACACAGCCAATCAGAGCTTAATGTTAATTATGTGAACACACATTAACCAAGATAACACTGTTTGTTTAGGTGCTCCCTGTTTAATTGTGCACTCAGAATTAGATACTGACTGATGGATTATTTTCTCACCGTCGTATAAGTAAATCATTTTTCTTGTGATTTTGAAACACTGCTTCTTGCTCTCTCTCTTTTTTAACCTTTTTCAACAGCAGAACGCTGTGTCTAATAACTGTAAAAAGTCCTGTACTACTTCTTTGTCTTTGAGGAGTCACTAGAGATGTGTGATGTATTATTGCCTTACTGCGAGTCTTTGTCCGTGCTCCGTTGAGATTTTTAAACTCTTTAAAGGCAATGAGAGCAAATTCTATCATCAGCAGCCGCTACGGTAGTAGCTCAATGACAGCAACAGTGGGGTCCACAATAGTCCGAGTGTGACGATAAAGAACATGTTCTTTTCAACATGGCTGCTGTGTGTGTTTGTGCCATTTCCATAATATATTGATGTGTTTTTTAAGGTAAGAATCTCAGAAGAGAACAGCAACATCTCAGTGAATTTTAATTGAGTGTTATTCACAAATGGGAGGTTTAGAAACACCCAATCAACACCTGTGGCATCACATAAGTGACGCTAAATAATCATGCTAATACCTAATGACTAGGTGTGAGGAGGCATCGGAATTAATTAACAATTTTCCAAATTGATCTCCCAGAGAGGTTTTACATCACTGATGTACGCATCAATGAAACATTTTTACCTTGAGCAGTTTGCAACCTCCACACTGATGCCGTGACACTGCTCACCACCACACTGAGGGGCAGGACTATCACAGGCTCTTGTCCGACACAGACACGACCCCGCTGTGCCACCATCATTATGGCTACACGCTGACCAGATCGACCAGGCACTGAAGCCTCCATCGACCGTCACATTACGGACCTGCAGGGAACAAAAAAGGGCCAGAAATAAAACATTTTAGCCTAATAGCTTTTCTCTGAAATGTATTGTTGTTTAGATTGATGCTCGCAGTAATGTGTTGATCCAGGAATCACACCCTCGAGCTGTATAGGGTGCAAGGAAAAATCAATTTTCCCTCAAATAGATGCAAAAATATAGCGGCGTCACATCATCCACGGCACCCACAAAAAATGTACACTTAGAGGAATCAACATACGTTTTAAACGCGGCGAAGATGTCTTTAAAGTGCCTGAGGGTTTAATGAGATTCCAGGAAAGCAGAAAAAATGGATGGGAAAAGGAAAAGGAAAGCTGCGAAGGGACACATTTATGCAAGGGAAATATGAGGACATTAAAAGGGGCCGTATAAATGGATATTTACAGCAAAACAGAATGAATCAGGGAGGCTGGATGTTACAGGAACTGAATTACAAATGACACTGCCGCTCATGCAAGCCAAATACAAAAATCACTTGTATGTAATTCAGATGCTGCAGATGATACGAGCCGTGTCGCTGTGTTATGTTAGAGTGATTTGAAAATGCAACAACTATTTTCCAACTGGGGAAGAGACAGACCGATGATAATCTTCACCAGAAACATCATCTACTCACTGCACTGTGCAAAAATGAGGAAGAGCTGAACAATTACAGCTTAAAATACACATAATATTTTATCATTAATCAACTGTGATTGTGGATATAATTCATAAAAGGCATCATAAAAAATGTTACCCCTGGTTTTGAATTGGTCTGTTTACTTGCAATAAATCAAGTAATTCAAACAGAACTGGAAAATATTTAAAAATGACGAGCAATCTTTTCTGTGGTTTCCTTTATCTCAGAAATTATACCTAAATTGTAATTACATGGTACAGTAGAGGTTTATTCGATGCAGTATTTTACAAACGGTCACACACTTCAGATATATATCTGCCTTTAAATCTGATTCAAGTTCCTGCAATAAAATGCTGCAGACCATTTTGATATATTTAGCAAAAATATATGTGATGAGTGGCTCCTGCTAGGGAGTAAACGATGCTGAGATGGACAATAATTCAATCTGTTATGTCGAGGCCACAAGGTGTAAGATTGGTTCATGTTGTTGCCTTACAGCAAAAAGTCATAGGTTTGTTGGTTCTAGCACCAGTCTCCTTATATGAATTTTTCATGTTTTCCTGTGTGTGCACAGGAACTCAGACAGTCCAAATACATGAGGGGGTTACGGTGAAGACACACCACAGGTATGAATGGAACAGTGAATGATTGACATCTGTGTCTGTTGTGTATGAGGCCCTGTGATGAACTAGTAAAACTGTCCAGGGTGTTTGCTCCATCACCCAGTGACTGCTGTGATTGGCTGCAGCCCGCCAGAGACCCTGAAACGTACTGCGCTGTAGAAGATGAATGATATCTGCGAAGATCTGTTTACGTGTGTTTTTCTTTTAAGGATGTTCCACTCGTAAAGATCTACCATTAAGTAAACCAGACGTGCTCCTGTCACAGGAGGGGTAGGGGGCGCTGAATGGACCTGGGATTTATGTTCAGAATCTTCATAAACAGAATTTCCAGGCTCATCTTTTTTTTTACAGATAGTGGAGGTGGCACATTTACTGGGCTTTGGATACCACCTCTGCGTTTTGCAGATGGTGTCATCTTACTAATGACATCAAGCAATGACCTGCAACCTCTGTAAGGGACCGTCTCTAAGTGGGACGCAGCACCAACAAGTGTGAAATCTCTATTTCTCAGTCAGTAAAGGATGAAATGTCCTTTTCGGTTCAGGGAGCAGTCGCAATTTTACAAATGTTTAACAGGTGTGACTTATCCCATCAGCAAAAGGCCTGTGTAGTGCTCTAGGACAGAGTCTGGATAATAAATATATTTTCATTTTATTTATTTATTTTTTTAACAATTGCATTTTTTTACTGACGTCACATACAAAGTTGTTTTATGATTTGATGTATTTTTATTTTTTAATTAAGGACTTTGAATATTTCTATTGCTTGAGCATGTTGAGGTTGATGGGCTTGATGATTCTAGCTTCTTATTGGGTAAAAGGCTGTGTTACACCTCACAGCTTCTTATTTACTTACTTTTACTACACTTTTGATACTTACAACATTACTGTATAGTTATTTATTTCCAAATTGAAGGCCACAAAAAAGGCCACAGCGTCATTGTTGAAGTTGTTTCCTTTCTGCCACAGTGTCACCACTCTTTATGATGACCCTGTGCTTTAACACAACACCGAGCACCCGGCAGACACTGACATTTTGGAACAGGGGAGACCTTTTCCTTTAAACTCGGGTAAAAAAAGAAAAAAAAAACTCCAGTAGATTTACCAATTCCTGGGTGAGACAGTTATCAGATACAAAAATATTTCTTCCCCCAGGCTCTGAGGTTTAGGACCTGCAGCTCGTAAAATATGATTTGACGTAGAAAAGTGAGTGCTGACTTTCAGAGAAAGGGAACATAGATCAGCGAGGAACATCTTTTTTATAGGGTTGTGTGCTGACGTGGTGAGGGTGATGGGGTTTTCTACTAACTTTATATAGTCTTAAAGGCACAGACCAAACATCAAGCTGGGATATATTACTGGAGGTAAATATTGCGGTAATACTCACGGGGCATTTGGTGATACTCTGCTCCCATTGGCTCATTCGGACACTTTCCTCCAAGGTGGTACATTTCTTCAACAACAGATCCCAACCACAGTATGGATCTCTGGATCCCAAACAGGCTCTGGTAATGAAGAACAGTTTGTGTTTGTGTTATTAACAGGTCATATCTAAATAAAGATCAGAAATCGAATGAAGGTGGCGCTAGAGTGGATGAACAAATAATAGATGGAAGGAAGAAAAGACAAAAGATCTTGTAAATTAGAGGAGCAGAAAGGAAAAAAGGAAAAGGAAAAATATGTGCCAAAAAATATGTCAGTTTATTCTTCTTTAAATGAGGAACACCAAATTGTGAATGAATTATGTTTTAACACAAGGCGCCAGATGATTTTACTGGTAATTCTCCACCAAGCAGAGGAATTACAATAATACATTTGCATACAGAGATATTAATTTCTGATTCCATTAGCTCATCAGCATTTCAAAAATTCATTGTAGCGGTGATAGCAATATCAGCCTGTGTCACAGCAGCTTCAGGTGGTTTATTGAATGCAGTGAAAAGCCTGATGCTGCTTCTCTGTAAATATGAGTGTCCAGACAGAGCGGCATAGAAAGAGAGAGAGAGAGAGAGAGAGAGGGAGAAAAATGAAAACAAATTATTCTTTTGAATTTCATTCTATTCATCTCAAACAAATTCTTTTGAATTTCATTCTATTCATCTGTCCACAAAAACATATTGTTCATCTATCCTTAAGAAAATGTGAAAAAGCCAAAGTCCTGTGTGTGCCTGGACGCAGAGGGTGGCTGATGGAGCGTCGTCCGGTCGGTGAACAGAAATTGGAGTGTTATGGTCTGAATCCATGTGGAAAAAAATATCAGGTGTGAGGAAAGTTCTGCTAAATGAAAACCAGGAGAAACAAGCCGTTGCCTGTTGTTTCCAGGGCCTTAAGGGCCTCACGGATTGTTCAACACCCATCAACGGCCTGCACACGGAACCTTCTAGTATTTCAAACAGGTTCACCTCAAAGAAATGTCACTGATGAACCCAGTAACTCTCACTGCAGCTGCCAAACCCAATGCCTGGTTTGGTTTTCTTTTTCTGTTGTTACTCTTCTTTTTTTCTGGCCTCCCAAAAAAAGTAGAAAATGTCAGAGAGGTGATGAACTGCCACAGCAGCTACAGTTTATATCACAGAGACACAGCTGTAATATGAAGTCTTAATTCTTCTGTGCACTCGACAAAAAAAACAAAAAACAAAAAAAAAAAACATCTCTTTGTGTGAAATATGACATGAAGTTGTGACTTCTTTTCTCCATACAGTGATGGATGGGGTTGCAACTTTACAGCAACACTTTGGTCTAGGTCTTGGGATTTTTTTTTTTTTTTTGGTGTATTTTGTTTGCCTCGACAGCACATTTGACAGACTGACCGATTTACAAATTTCTCAACGTACAAGCACAAAGCAACAACGGGGCTTAATATGAGGAAGTTGTGGTGGGAGAGCCAGACAGAAACAGTAAGACTGGCTGAGAGAGGGCAACTGTGGACACTACCAGTGGCTCAGACAGAAGCTGATTTAAAGGGTTTTAAATCTTAGCACAGGCCCTGAACAACAACACAGGCCTGGACCTCACAGATAAAGAGCATGTTATGAAAGTGGAGGCTTTAAAACTTTGCTCCAAGCACACTGACTTTGGCAGTTTTTATTGAGATTAATGGACTTTGTTTGTTATGTACTCACTCCCTGCTCTTGTGGTAGCTGCATCTCTTGAGTGGGATCTTGATGACCTGGTCCCTGACGCCCACATAAAGCTCGCTGCGACTGTGCAGGATCAGCAGGCTGCGGATCGGCTGCCTCTTCCGCAATGGGAACAGCTCGATCTCCTCCAACAAGCAGCTTCCAGTGGACTGATTGAGAGGCGAGAGCACTTTCTTGATAGTTCCATAATCTGGAAAAGTAAGGAGGGTTTGTCAAAAGAGAAAGGAGATTGTTTAGGTGAAGGTGAAGGAAAGAGCAAATAGCAGCCAGGCAGCAATACCTGAAGGAAAGAAAAAACAACAACAACATTCGAACTCAGGCTGGTGTGAACTCAATGTGACCCAGACATCAATCATTTCCTAACTACATCTGTCAAACAGGCTGGTGGCAGCTGATGTGCCGAGCCGGCTTTTCAGCATGTACTGAAAAAAACCCACCGGGGAATTCAACCTGGGTACGTGGCTGTGGCGTACACCAAGGAGACCCAATCTGAGGAAGTAATCACTGCTCATTTCCAAAAGAGAATCAATGTGCTCTTGATTACGTCCTGACCTTTACTTCATGTACAGTATGCCACGTGTGCTGATGTTAGTGGCAGATTTTTTTTTAAGGCAACTAATACAAACATCATCTATTATAAATGCACTGCCCTGGGTGAGGAGAATGTAATTAGGCGCCGAGTAATGCTTTCGGAAGGAGGGTGAATTGCTAATAGCTAGTTTAAAGGTAGGGAATGTAAAAGTTAAGTATTGCCTCCAGTGATGTTGGGCTGTAACATATTTCATGCGGTGTATTCCTAGTGGTTAGCGGACGCTAGCCACTGGTTATAGTTCACCAGGTAATTAATGTTACCAGTTTTGCTCAGGGCTGGAGGGGGGAGAGTCCTGCAGCTTCACTGCGAGAACACGGAACATCTGAAGAGCTGTTCTGCTCAAGTTACGACAGCTGTTCATCACTTCACTAAGTAGCTCTGGACTGTACTTTGGCAGCTTGTTAATTTTATGGAATAGTACTTTTGTGCTTATTATATTGCATTATACGGAAAACATGATATATTGGGGTTATAAATGGAATATGATTCCTGACAGTTATGGAGGACGAGGCAGGAGCTGACTGATAAAAGGAACACTGATATTTCAGTCCAGATGTATAGGGAAATACAATTACATTTGGACCAGAATGAAATTTCACAGCAAATTGACTGAGATCAGTTACAAGTAGCAAGGCTTTCGACACAAACACACAGACACTCTGAGACAATGTTCGATATCCTCAACCTTTCTGAAGGGTTTAACAGATATTAAAGTAGTGGGAGAATTATTTTAAAATCCATTCAGTCCATAAGAAATGTGTTGTATACTATAGCCAAATTTAACTTCCAAAATATTTCATGTAATCACTCACAGTACACAAACTCCCAGTTAGGTCTGCTGGTCATGATACTGCTAAAGTATTATACTAATATCATATCTGACTCTCAAAGGCTGTTGCATATTACAGGTTAGATTAAGGTGAACTAGGATTATCCAGTTGGGCATGACAATAATTGAGAATATAACTAAATTATCTAACTAGAATGAGGTACTTTTCTGAAGTAAGGAAATACAAAAGTACATTCTGTTTGTTTTTAGCAGAGTTGAAATAGATAAGGAATGATGAATCAGATCATTTACAACATCTTTCCACACTAATGTGAAGCAGTTGCTTTGTCCCCCACAGCACTGCACGTCTCAGCATTAATAGTAGTGCATGACTGGCTACTGTGTGCACGCTACACAATGGCCTTGGCAGAGGTTCAGATGTTTTCATTAGCGTCTGGTTAGTGTCTGGGGAACTTGCACCGTGGGCAGCTCCTGACTGATGCTACACTGATCACATCACCATGCAAACAAAGAGAGGGGAGTTTTGGTAAGAGATGCCAAAGCAGAGAAGGCAGTGGACTTGAAAAGGTTGGGTTTGTCCGACTGTGTGTCTGCACTGAGATAACAGGGACAGTGCAACTGGAAACTGCTGTTGACATTTCCCGTACTGCCACAATATACTTCGATATCACAGTCAAATGGGTCACTACGTTCAGATCCCGTTCCCTCCATCAGTGCTGAGGCACACAGTGTTTTCCGTGGAACTGGTGCCGTGGCTGTCATCTTAGTGATTGTCTTTTACACAGTGTCGACATCACACACAGAGTCACACTGGTGTGATTAAACAATGAAGTGATTAGCAGAGAACAAACCGGTTCAAAAAGGGAACATGTCTCAGACATGATGATGTGCCTTAACACCGAGACACGCTCGGTGTTAAGGCACATCATCATCTGCTTCCCTCTGACATTTGTCTTATTTAAAACTTTTTAACCGCAGCAAGTCAGAGTCATATTTGGTGTCAAGTAATTCAGTGTTGTTTCAGTGGATATTTAGAGAAAAAACTAACTTCGTGACAGTGAATTGAGCTTCAGTGTCACAGAGTTTATTATTAGTTTTGTGCAACTAATGCAAACCACTTTTCAGATACTCCAATGTACCTACCAATAACAATGCTAATACAAGAAGAAAATGTAAGATTATATTACACAACCACACAAACTTCTGCTATAACATCTACAGTAGTACTCGTATTTTCAACATTCAAATAACTGAATATATGTAAACATATAAATCCACATGCACACACTCAAAGGATTCCACCTATAACCTACCTGTAGCCAGATATATGATGTGGAACAGCATGTCTTTCCCCTGCACCACATCCACTGCCACATGGGTAAAACGCACATTATCCTCCATGAAATAGGGCACGGGAACCAGGGGTTGGACCACCTCGTGCATCAGCAAAAACTTCTGAGCGTCCTGCAGGTTTCTTTCAGTCAGGTTTGCGTACGTGCCAGAGTCGATGGTGCCGCACTGAGGGGTCAAAATCAGGGAGGAATCAGTTTAACCGGACTCATTAATAAAATAAAAGTTCTGTGGAAGAAGTCACATTAATGGAGGGACAATTTTGTGGCTGGGAGATTGAGCACAGATGGGAACAGTAAGGTAGGGCTGTTAAGTCAGTTGCCTGATTATTGCACTGTTTTGCAGTCTTCACAACCTTAAGGACCTGTAGTCAATATACTGCAGCTGATACAGTCAGAGCAAATATTGCTTTTATTAAGGCAAGTATTTATCTCTCTTATTATTGTGAATTACAGTGTTAGACCAATAATAAAATGTGTTTTGACATGTTTTTCACATCTCCAAAGGATGATTTTAGCTCCAGAGTCTCTGTAATCAGAGCAATTTGGAGACCCCAATTTTAACCCCCCCGTCTTGAGCACTGTCACTGCAGTCTCTGACTCTGACATGCTTCATATAAACCAAGGAATATATGACATATTTGGACATTCCAATTGTTTTAGTTAGTTACTAGCGACCATGTGTTTCCATTTTTGCTCCCAGTTGGGTTCTACTCCTGCTGCAGAGTCAAAAACACAGCACTTGCTTATGAAGAGAATTGTGTAGGATGTGAAATATTTTCCCCCATGCTTTTGTGGAAGTGAATTCTGAACTTTCTCCAAGCAGTGTGTCAAAACAAAGACATGAGTTCATAAAGTTCATAACAGTGAAACACGAGAGCCTGTGTTGAGTTTTTTCATTTAAAATCCGACAGTGTTTCCTATTAAAGTAAATGGCTATAAAATGTCCTGCTACATTAAACTACGTTTGTGTTGATACCTGTTTTTTTTTTTTTTTTACAAGCACATCCTGTGGTGAACAAGTAAAGTTTGTTTTCCTCACAGGCAGCATTTGTGGCCATCGCCTACAGTCTGGCTGAGGCAGAGCTGGGAATATAAACATGGATGTCGTCTTTGCCGTGAACGGCTAAGGTCAGTCTTTTAGATTCAGATGCATCCACAAAGGATAGGTCTCCTCCAAGACAAAAGGAAGAAAAAAAACAAAACAACCTCTGCCTGACAATTAGAGAAACCCAAATGACTATTTGTTTTTGTTTCAAGCTCGGAGACTTGGAGAGATTGCATGAAGTTTACTCCAGGCTAATCATACACAGCCTCTTTGAACAAGAATAAAAACTAGGCCTTGGGCGGTGATTAGTTCCCGCTGACCAGCTTTACTAGGATCAGCTCAGAGATTTCATCCAGATCAATCTGTGGGCCTGCTGAAATGACAGATGAGAAACATGGAGGGCTTCCCTGGAATGGGCAACGGATCAGTGCCTTCGCCACATCAGGAGGTGGGGAAATTAAAGCCCTGAAGGATGAAGAAATGTGACACCTGGGTGTACAGTACCGTATGTGCTCGAATATGTCTGTTGCTTATGGCAAAAATAGTGATTTTTTTTGTGAGTTTAGCGTGGGTTCCATAATGACATATGTCTCAGGTTTCCCTCTGTGTTTTGTCCTTGCCTTGCATGTGCAAGTATTAAATCCTCAAGTGCCTGCCGTGCATTGTATTTCTGCCACAGTGAGACAAAGTTAGACGCTGGCCAATGGGGCCCTACGACACCTGTGAATGTGCCGGGAGATGAATGTTGCGTTTTCTGCAGTACAGCCAAGGTGAGGGACATCATTTGGCTGACGGCCCATCTCACACCCAGCTGTCCCGCTCATCATCAGTGTGCCGTGCTCTGCCAGGATGATAACTGTGACTGAGAAAAATGGCTTCTCTACCACTAGTGTGTGCAAAATGGTCTTTTATTTTTAATCCATTCTGGGTGAGGTTGGATTTTTTTTTGCATATCAGAAAAACATTTTTTACTGCAGGTAGGAAAAATATATATAATGCAGTTGAAGAGAAAAACAGTTTTTTCTTTTCTTTTTCTAGGCTACCGATTTACTGTCATCATTTGAAGAAAAAGAAGATTAACATATTTTCTACATATGAACAACAATTACTGTATTTTTAACTCAGGACAGAAAACCTATACCACACACAGCAGGCATTCGTTCCTAATGCACAACAAATATGACTTGTGGCATGAGTAAACCAGGTCGGCTCAATTTGCGTGGTTTGAATAAATGGTGGGATTTTCTTCGCAGACACTGGGGGAATTAAATTCTTGATCAATGACCAGCGTTTGTCTTGTGATGGGTTCATCTTGTAATAATACCCATTTGGAAGCAGGCTGTTTCCTGCAATATTTTTTGTAAGTTTATACAACCGCAAGACATGTAAATGGTCAGCAGCTTCTGTTGGCGTGGATCCCTGCATATCTCTGCGGGTACACGTGTGTGGGTAGGTGCACACAAAGGAATGAAAACAGGCAGGCCGTAAATCCTAAGACCATAAATCTAATCCCCTAACATTGACAAATGCTTGATTAAGATGTCACCAAAAGCCAGATAAAGTGTGCATCAGTCTAGCATCGGAGAGCGGCTATTGTAGCAGGGCTTAAATGGAGGAATGGGGATAGAGAGTAGGCAGTGATTCTGGTTTATCCTTAAGGAACCACAGCCTTGTGAGGCCTTTGTACGGTAGAAGTCTCTGTATAATGTACCTTCACTATAAAGAACAGTATAAATGGGTGGTCAGCATTGTCCAGAGAGTGAAAATTGTTTTTTACAATGCTAATTTTTTTTCTCCCTCAAAGCCGCTGACATATGGATAAGTTAATGCATGGCAGCTGTTGGTGGCCTAATATGTAACAGATTTGTGTGTGTGTGTGTGTGTGTTTGCAGTGCTGTCACAGCTAGCACTTTTTCTGCATGAGCATTACAGATAATGTGTGTTTAAATTCTCAATAGCATGCTTTACCAGCACCCATGCATCTGCCAGTTTGACGCAGGCATGATTGAGGGAGCGTGATGGAAAACACGTGTGCAAGCCAGACGTGTGTCACCCACTGCCGAGCAGGCGTCAGGGGGAATTGAATCCCATACGGAGAGCTGTGTGGATTAGCTCCCTCAATATCCGCTAAGCCTTTTACAACTGGAGGCTAGTTCGACTGCTAATAAAGCATTTCTTTTGTGTCATCAGTATTGAACCGATTCTCAGACCCGGCTGCTCTCTCCTCCCCCATCCTCCTGGGTTTAAGACAAAGTGTAAACATAAATTGGCACTTGGGCACAACAACGACACTTTATTAGCGGAGACTGCAGTTTAAACTACAGTGTTAGAAGACGTAAAGGAACAACGCGGCCACTGTAAAAGTCACAGTTGACACACAGTTGTGATGTCGGTGTTCCTCGGTAGAGTGAACTCATGAGCGGGACTCTGAGACAGGCTCATCTGGTGAACATGTACATACCATATGCACACATTTCCTTAGGCATGCACCCAGCTGTGCATACTGTTGGGCTGATTGGACAGCACGTAGCTCCGGTTGTAAAGGGAGTTATTAGCTGCTGTACTAAATGTAGCTGTTTGGGTTAAAGGCAGAGGACACATTTCATTGTGTGCAGTGGTGTACTGGTTCACAATGACAATACTGTATTAATAACTTGCAGAAACATGTATTAATAAGTTATGAAGTAGTTAGATTTATACAGTCTTTCAGTTATAACCGGCCCTTCTAGGGCAACCATATTGCTGATGTGGCCTCCGGTGAAAGAGTTTGACACCCCTGGTCTAACAGCATGTATGTTATCATTACCATACAGCTAACACAGCAGCTATTGTGACTGCAGTGTTTTGTTTTTGTATACAAAGCTAAAAGCCTTACCTGGAAGTCTGGGTTGGGGTTGGGGTAGGGCAACCAGGCCGACCTTGAGTTTTCCTGATACTTGAAGGGCCCGTTGAAGACCTGTGAGATGGCACTGAGGTTGAAGGCACACACTGCAGATGCAGCAATGCTGTTTCTGAATGTCAGTGAGGAAGAAGGAGAAGAAGGAGAGGAAAGAGCTTTAATGAAAGACGAACACCGTGGCACCAGCAGGAAACTCTGGTCAGCCTGGGTCGCTGATCATAAAAGCTGACCACTGTGTGCTCATTGGACTCAGAAATCACTACAAATCAAACCCTGAACAGACAGATGCAGACAGCGGGGTAAGTGATTGTCATCATTGGACTGTACATCAGAGAAGAGAACACAATTAAACTGCTCCGCTGGTCTGATTAACTGTACAGATCGCAGGCCTGAAATACAGCTTTGACTTTTTAAGCTGTCACTTTCAACAAGTACTGTCTCTTCCCTGTGAAGAGTAAGAAAAGAATGAGTGTATTAACTCCCCACTTATACAGTGGGACTCCAGCAATGTGAATTATAATCCTTTGCGGGTGTTCATTAAACTGTGTGCCTGCAGGGGGAAATGTTTCCAATACCCTTCAAAAGACCTCGTTTTTTTTTGTAACACTAAGGTACTGACCATAAAAAATAGATTGCTCAGCTTTAAATAAGTGTGTGGCTGTGCTGCACTGTGTGTTCTTGTGTGTGTGTGCCAAATTTCCATATTTAGGACACAGTGTTTCCTTTCAATCAGCTTCTCTAATTAGATTTGAATGTCAGGTAGGAGCTAGGGTATGCATTCTCTCAATTTTCACCTGCTGTGTAAACAACACCATGGAAGAAACTTTGCTGTGTAAACAACATTGTCACATCAGTCATCTACACTCTACCTACGGTATGCAATGATGCACACATTAGAAATATACAGCAGAAGGCATAAATGTAACCAAGGAATGAAGAAAATCTTTCAAAAGAATTCAAATAAGACAAACCCATCATTTATATAATTGGCTGAATTCATTTTATTTATTTATTTTTTTTGCAGAGTCTTTGAGAATAAAATAAGAAAGAAAGAAAATAAAGAGGAAAACCTTTTTGACAACCAATTCTTGGTCTTGGTCATTTGACTTAGTCCAAAATTTCTAAATTATTATATTTGACTAAATTTATTTTCTTTTTGGGCTTTTACATATAAACATATGTGTATATTTGTTTTGCATCCCTAAATTTGATCTTCATAACTTCCTATTTCGTTTTCCTATTTTTAGTTCTTCATCTTCAAAAAAGGGTCATTCATTAAGTCACTGAAAACATTTGGTTGAAGAAATTAATGTAATATAAACAAACGCTCATATCATCCTGATTAAGTTGTTTAAATGCTTTTGCGTCAGAAACTTACACATTGGTTGTAAATATTCCGTAGAGCAGCTCCAGCTCTGGCAGGTAGAATGTTCCCTGCAGCTCGTTGTAGTTGAATGGAATCTCTCCTGGTCGGGAGCAGTTCAACCTGGCCTTCATGAAGGTGGTCCACGTGTCCTTCAATAGCATGCTTTACCAGCACCCATGCATCTGCCAGTTTGACGCAGGCATGATTGAGGGAGCGTGATGGAAAACACGTGTGCAAGCCAGACGTGTGTCACCCACTGCCGAGCAGGCGTCAGGGGGAATTGAATCCCATACGGAGAGCTGTGTGGATTAGCTCCCTCAATATCCGCTAAGCCTTTTACAACTGGAGGCTAGTTCGACTGCTAATAAAGCATTTCTTTTGTGTCATCAGTATTGAACCGATTCTCAGACCCGGCTGCTCTCTCCTCCCCCATCCTCCTGGGTTTAAGACAAAGTGTAAACATAAATTGGCACTTGGGCACAACAACGACACTTTATTAGCGGAGACTGCAGTTTAAACTACAGTGTTAGAAGACGTAAAGGAACAACGCGGCCACTGTAAAAGTCACAGTTGACACACAGTTGTGATGTCGGTGTTCCTCGGTAGAGTGAACTCATGAGCGGGACTCTGAGACAGGCTCATCTGGTGAACATGTACATACCATATGCACACATTTCCTTAGGCATGCACCCAGCTGTGCATACTGTTGGGCTGATTGGACAGCACGTAGCTCCGGTTGTAAAGGGAGTTATTAGCTGCTGTACTAAATGTAGCTGTTTGGGTTAAAGGCAGAGGACACATTTCATTGTGTGCAGTGGTGTACTGGTTCACAATGACAATACTGTATTAATAACTTGCAGAAACATGTATTAATAAGTTATGAAGTAGTTAGATTTATACAGTCTTTCAGTTATAACCGGCCCTTCTAGGGCAACCATATTGCTGATGTGGCCTCCGGTGAAAGAGTTTGACACCCCTGGTCTAACAGCATGTATGTTATCATTACCATACAGCTAACACAGCAGCTATTGTGACTGCAGTGTTTTGTTTTTGTATACAAAGCTAAAAGCCTTACCTGGAAGTCTGGGTTGGGGTTGGGGTAGGGCAACCAGGCCGACCTTGAGTTTTCCTGATACTTGAAGGGCCCGTTGAAGACCTGTGAGATGGCACTGAGGTTGAAGGCACACACTGCAGATGCAGCAATGCTGTTTCTGAATGTCAGTGAGGAAGAAGGAGAAGAAGGAGAGGAAAGAGCTTTAATGAAAGACGAACACCGTGGCACCAGCAGGAAACTCTGGTCAGCCTGGGTCGCTGATCATAAAAGCTGACCACTGTGTGCTCATTGGACTCAGAAATCACTACAAATCAAACCCTGAACAGACAGATGCAGACAGCGGGGTAAGTGATTGTCATCATTGGACTGTACATCAGAGAAGAGAACACAATTAAACTGCTCCGCTGGTCTGATTAACTGTACAGATCGCAGGCCTGAAATACAGCTTTGACTTTTTAAGCTGTCACTTTCAACAAGTACTGTCTCTTCCCTGTGAAGAGTAAGAAAAGAATGAGTGTATTAACTCCCCACTTATACAGTGGGACTCCAGCAATGTGAATTATAATCCTTTGCGGGTGTTCATTAAACTGTGTGCCTGCAGGGGGAAATGTTTCCAATACCCTTCAAAAGACCTCGTTTTTTTTTGTAACACTAAGGTACTGACCATAAAAAATAGATTGCTCAGCTTTAAATAAGTGTGTGGCTGTGCTGCACTGTGTGTTCTTGTGTGTGTGTGCCAAATTTCCATATTTAGGACACAGTGTTTCCTTTCAATCAGCTTCTCTAATTAGATTTGAATGTCAGGTAGGAGCTAGGGTATGCATTCTCTCAATTTTCACCTGCTGTGTAAACAACACCATGGAAGAAACTTTGCTGTGTAAACAACATTGTCACATCAGTCATCTACACTCTACCTACGGTATGCAATGATGCACACATTAGAAATATACAGCAGAAGGCATAAATGTAACCAAGGAATGAAGAAAATCTTTCAAAAGAATTCAAATAAGACAAACCCATCATTTATATAATTGGCTGAATTCATTTTATTTATTTATTTTTTTTGCAGAGTCTTTGAGAATAAAATAAGAAAGAAAGAAAATAAAGAGGAAAACCTTTTTGACAACCAATTCTTGGTCTTGGTCATTTGACTTAGTCCAAAATTTCTAAATTATTATATTTGACTAAATTTATTTTCTTTTTGGGCTTTTACATATAAACATATGTGTATATTTGTTTTGCATCCCTAAATTTGATCTTCATAACTTCCTATTTCGTTTTCCTATTTTTAGTTCTTCATCTTCAAAAAAGGGTCATTCATTAAGTCACTGAAAACATTTGGTTGAAGAAATTAATGTAATATAAACAAACGCTCATATCATCCTGATTAAGTTGTTTAAATGCTTTTGCGTCAGAAACTTACACATTGGTTGTAAATATTCCGTAGAGCAGCTCCAGCTCTGGCAGGTAGAATGTTCCCTGCAGCTCGTTGTAGTTGAATGGAATCTCTCCTGGTCGGGAGCAGTTCAACCTGGCCTTCATGAAGGTGGTCCACGTGTCCTCTAGGAGGAAGCGACCACCGATGTCATTCTTACAGACACGTCCTGCCCGGGAAAACACTGTACGACCACAGTCATGTTCCACGGCATTTTCCCGAAAGAAGAAGTAGGTAAAATTGCCGATGTCGTAGGAGGAGACAAAGTTGGGTTCTGTCAAAGCAGAGTAAAAAAAGAGGAGAAGAATAAAAACAGTGAAACTGAACCAGGCGGGAGAAAAAATAAGATTTCAGAAGGAGGAAGATGAAATGCCAAATGAAAATATTTAAGACCTAGTCAGTAAGTGTGTGAGTGAACGCTATACCTGATTGATTCAGTGTGTGTAAACGTGCAGCCCACATCAGAGCAGGTGAAGAGGATTAATCGCTACAAGCGTTCATATTAATGGAGTTTTGTTGTAGCAACAAAACTAATTTTTCACCCCTCAAATCTAAAAGGTTAAAATGAAAAATGGCCAAAACAGGTGCAGTGTAATCAGTCCCAGCCCATCTGAAACATGTGACCTTCACAACAGCATGACAACTGGACGTATGACACTGTACTGTGGGATCTAAACTGCACACTTTACTCTTGCTGACAGTGATTTAATCCACCTTTTAATGAAAGTGTCTACTTCCCCGTATTTCAGCCTTCTTTTTCTGTGCAGTTTCGGAGCGCAGGCAGAGACGCAAATCAAATCAATTTGCCATAAAATTAGTGATCAAACCCTATTCTGTGCAGGCTGCTGCCGAGCAATGTATGTGGTGGCTTTTCATTTATTTTTTTCCCATTTATCTTAAATGTGAATCAGATAAAAGTCACTTGGCGGCACCGTACTGATTCACCTGCTCTGCTGCCGGCTGAGTGCTGCGAGCTGTCTGAGGTTTCTCAACCTGCACTGAAAAGCTTGCCGCTTTAAATAGTCTGTGCTTTCAAGGGGAAAGACATTGATTTTGGATAAATATTTTGCCACTTGAAAAAGAAGGGATGAATTTAAAGATTTTCTACGATCAGAGTTACTCAAGACGTAATGTTTTCATTGATAAAAGGCAGCAGAAGAGAGACTTAAATTAGTTAGACTTAAATAACCTTAGTAAATCGCTCATTGTGTTTACCAGAGAAAGCCAAATATGTATGGTAGTCTGACTAAAATCTTAGCATGTTTTTTTGGTTGTTTCTTTCCACCTTGCCAACACCTAGAATGTCAAGAGACTTAGAGCAGTTTAATTGGCCATATATATGGGAGCAATGGTTTTCAAAGTGTGGGACACACCTCCCCTAGGGGACGCAATAGCCTTTCAAGGACGTCGGTAAATGATAAACAATAAAATCTAAAATAACATAGATTAGTTACTTAAGGGATCATTTACTACTGCAAAAAAAATGTGTGTGTAAATTAATTTTAGGGGTGTGTGTGTGTGTGTGTGTGTGTGTGAGTGTGTTCTGGGCTGCAATTGATTTCCTGCTCCTTAGATGAAGGCTCAATGTTAACCTTTAAATATGCCAATTCTGAAGAAACACATTTTTGACCAAACTGTGGTGTTACTTAGACACTGTACTTAATACTTTACTATTTTGTCTCAAAAAAAAGCAAAAAAACCCCCGAAATTTATCGCTGATATCAAATAGTACTCACCCCATAGTGAAAGTATTAGGGTTAGTAATAAATAATAGTAAATAAATATTATATATAATATAAATTGTTTCCATATAAAGAGTTAAAATGTCCATGTGTTTGTTTGATTTAAATATTAACAAATACCTAATAAAAAATAAATATAGATATAGATTTCTGTATTTTGCTGATCAGTATAATTATAGTTGTATACAGTATAATAGTATATATTGTCATACCATTGAGCCATTTGGAGTTGTACTGTGCTGTACGCAGTGGTGGGAGACCACCCAAGCTGCGGTAGATAGCGGGGTCTCGCCCAGAAAAGTCCATGGCGGTAGCGGCATAAAGCTCCCCGCTGGAGGTGATGAGGGCCGTGGAGTTGTGGAGTGGATTGTAGGGACATCGAGCCATGCCGCTGATCTGATCGTGGATCTCTGTCAGATTTGTCAGCTGTGCCACAGAGAGGGAATTAATCAGAAGAGAAAAAAATGTTCAGGTTTTTTTTTAACATGTCAATATTACAAGGAACAACAAAAATCAAAACGAGGGAATATTTTGTCTGTTGGTGCCAAAAATACACAGAGGAAGCAGTCCTTCACCTTAACATGCATTGTTCTACATTTACAGCAAAGCAGCAACAACAGCCTTCAGGAATGACGGAGATAATGAGCAAACACTTTCAGCTTCATTAGTACAAACAGGGCAGCTGTTTTAAGTCTAATGTTAAGTGAACCACCTGTTAAGAAAACATTAAAAATCTACAATCTACTACAGGCAACTTAAATCAATTACTCCTTTATGGCATTGTTCCCCAGTTTGGTTACTGATGTCTGCACAGAAGCACCATCTGTGGAACCTGGATCTACTGCTCCTGAAGAGGCCTCTGCGAATTAAAAAATGCTCGACGTAGGATGCAGCCTTTGCATTTTCCCTCCGAATCCAAATCCAAATCCAAACTCCAAATACTTTACAGCATGACACAGGCTTAGTCCTGACACGCTGCTCTGGCTTCTGCCTAACAGAAAATACAGGCCTTACCTCAGTGACTCAGCCCCCAATACAAAAGAGAATGAAACCTTTTTTTTTTTTTTTAAATCCTAGATGTAATTACAGTTGGTGGTGCAAAAGTAAACACAGACTATTGGAGGATTAGCTCATGAGGGATCCTTCAAAGGTTATCTGAATGTGGGAAATTGCACGATGCAAAGAAGAAAGATGGCACTGAGCTGGGGTTTTCAGCTGTGCAAAGGGAAGTTAAACTGGTTCTATTTCTGTCGGTCCACCTGGTCCTGCTTTTTTTACTTAATTTGAGAAAACTTTAAGTTAGAAGCAAGCTTTAACCTGGAGAAATTCGAGAGCAATCTCACTTCTCTCCTCCACATTTCTACATTTTAATCAGCGGCTGACTTTTGCACACTGGAGGATGGACTTCATTCTGGGCATGTGCGGCAGTGAAACAGGTCACCGCTTTAGCCAATTTCCTGGAGCCGGTCAATTTAGATGAAGGGGCTCTGTTCATTTCTGCCACCTCTGCTTCATCCACACCACAACAAAACAGAGCGGCCCTGTCTGAGCAGGAAGAAAGTGTGGCATTGACGGCACCGGTTCTGTGGGCCAGAATATCCATTTTGAGTTCAGTCAAGTCATTGAGGAACACAAGAGGAGGACTGATAAATAAATAGCCCTGCATCCATTGCATTTGGAGAAAGTGAAGTGAAAGTCGCCTCTATATTGAACTCAGCAGCTGCGCAAATAGGATGCTAAAAAGACTGAATGCCACTGATAGAGATTTTTTTGGACAGCGACAGCTCACAGTTCACACAGACTGCTGTGTGTGTGTGTGTGATTGTGAGCGTGAGTGTGAGTGTGAGTGTGCCGAGTGTCTTGCGTGAGGCTCCTGAGATTCCTGTATAGTGGATTTTCCGCTGCACACAAGCTGTGTGAGTGATCTAAGGTCTTTTAATAAAGAGGAGTTTCACTGATAGCACACTGTGGATTCTATGAAGAAACATCCAAACACAAATCTGTCAAGTGGGCGCAGGCAGGTTGTCCAGTTTTTTTTTTTTTTTTTAATCTATTATTATTTCGAGCTTCTCGGTGAAAGTTACAGCAGTGACAGGTTGCGAAACAGTCACATTATTTCTGGAGGATGAATTTTGAACTATTATGAAATAAGTCAGCTGACAAGAGGCTTCAAATACAAATTAAAATTTTCCCTGCGAATTCCTGGAAAGGAAAAAGCTAATCCACACATCGTTTGTTTTCTCTTTCTGCCACTGTGCAAACTGTGCAATAAATAGTTTGTTTGTCGAGATTAAAAATTGTTGCTGCTAAATCTTCATGCCGGTCCAATTATATCACTGCCGAGGACACCAAAAGTCAAACTTCAAATGATGAGGAGAAGTGTGTTAAATTAAGAGTTGCAGGTCTTTTTAATGACCACTATCCTTCCATCTGCCTCTGATGGATTTCTGGTCATGCTTCCACCTACTCTTCTCACAAGCTTAGTGTTAAATTTGTTTTGATGATTTCTTTTTTAATCTTTCATCCAATTTTTCGGTGCCTTCACTCTACTTAATAATATGCAAATTAAATAAGAGCACAAAAAGGTTGATTGATGTTTGATTCATGAGGATGTAAAAAGCGAGAACTTAAAAAGATACTTCATACACAGTACAACTTCATTTGATGAAGATATTTCATAACCATAACAGATGTAGTTTGTTTGATTTTTTTAAAAGAAAATTAATTAATTTGTATAAAGTGGACAACATGTGACGTTGTAAACATGATGCTGGACCTTAAATTATAATTTACTGACCTTTAGAACAGATGAAAGATTTGCAGTGATGTGCATCGCATCAACGCAAATATGTGTTTTTATGGAACGTGATGCTAAATCCTACAGCAGTCCCATCGCCTGTTCTGTGATGTGATGCTGACAGACAATGACTACAATAAACAACGTTATCAAATTTATCATCCACAATCGCTGCCTCCGTCAGTGCCACGACAACGACACCAATCGTCAATCATCAGCATGAGGAGGATAAAAATAATTGGCAGATTAATTTGTGAAGCTCACCTGAGTTTTCCATTTAAATGTTTTATGGGAAACGAATGAACAAGGTTATGACTTTTACAGCTTTGCCTTTTTCTTTGTATGGCAAATGAGAATTAACACAAATTACTTTGAGTAGGTTGCAGCTGCAGCCCACACAAATGTCAATCATAAATATTAATATAACATCTTAGCTTGTGTTTCTCATGTGACACGTTCAACTGAAAGGCACCGCATATCGTACGACGTGGATTAAAACATTTAATGTAAATGCTTTCAAGTGAGTGTTTCGTCAGTGTTGCTTTTTTTTAGAAAACACGAAAGCTAAGTGCGTCTTATTAGGTCTTTTCATGACAAGATATTTCTCCGATTGAGACATCTCCAATCACTAAGCCAACTTCGGTGAATAAACATTGACTAGTCGGAGGGAGTTTGACAAACTCAAAGCCTTCATTAAACTCAGAGAATATTCCCCTTCTTCTGTTCAATCAGTGTGATTACTCTGCTGTTTCTTGTCAAACAGTCTTTCATATTAACCAGTGTTCAGTAGGTAAATATGACAGTGCTTGATGAAATACTGCTTTAATAATGTCATGGCATTTCTGCTGTGTGTGTTTCCACCCTTGTAAACAGCCATTATCAGCCAATGACCTTTGGATGCAGTACTTTTTGGACATAAACAAATGTCATCCTAATGGTGAACTCCTGCTACTTTTTGCACTGAAATCCCACCACGCGTGACAGGTGTTGGACAGAGTCCAAACGCTATCAGCAAGTAAATTAAGGCTGAAATGATGTCCAGAGTATCGTCAAAAACTTAAAATGAAAAGTTTTACTGAAATATGTAAGATCATAAGCTGTGTATTATTTGCACAGATATCGGAGAGAGCTTGCAGCACTATAATTAACTCCAAAGAGAAGACAGTATGGATTGATACAAAAATAGAAAATCAATACTTGCAATGACTCATGAAAGGCGAAGTAAGAGTCTGATCAGACAAAGGACAAAACTAGTGAGGCAGTAATAACCAGGATTATTAGCAGTGTTGAGCGGGAGATAATATTTTGATAGCTGCGTTTACCAGGTAATGGTGTGTTTTTTTTAAATACACCGACTCAATGACAGCGACGGTGGTCTCAGTTTACCTCCTTGAATCAGTCACTCAGGCTAGAGTGTCACACAGAGGAGGACTGTGACCTTTTCTTGGGACAGTCTGCTGTTGTCATGTTGGTGCTATAATCTGCACTTAATAGCTAACGATGGTCTTTATTATCGATTTTCTGGCACTGCCTTAACATAAAGATTACATACTACAGTACTATTGTAGAAGGATTGGCCACTGCAACGACTCTCTACTTTCATTCTACACTGTCACTTTCATTCTATGTGCCAAACTATTATTGCAGTTTAAGTGAAATGAATACCAAAAGGTCTTTAAATGTCCTAATCAGATTCATTGGTTCTGGGGGAAAATCTAATCTAATCCTCTAAGAAGGTACTTTTTTGTTTCAGGTACATTTTGTAAAAAGAAAACTTTTATATGCCAGGTAACACCTCACAACTGCTTCAGTTTGCTTTTCTCATGAATGTGTTTTGCTGCTCTAGATATTTATATTCAATTTTGTATTTAAGTAAAGGAAACTCATTGTTTTGTTTTGCTGTTTATTTAAAGTGCTGAGCCTTAAGCGTGAAAGTTTAGAGTCACCATCTGAATTTTTGTTACAGCTGTTGTATTTAGTTTCTTGGTTGGTAATTGTCTGTTTACATAATTGTGTCTAACGAGCTAACGGCAGATCAAGCACATTTTGTGCAGGCATAGAGGCATTAAAGCCCCTGAGAACAGTCAAACTGTTAGGTAATGTTCAGAACTCCTGAACCTAAAGTATGTTGACATGTTCATAATTGGATGAACTGGCATTGGTTGGTTGCATTGCATCCAGGACTGTCTACCTTGCTATCTAACAGCAACAACACAGCATACATACGATAACTCTTTTTAGATTATCTGAGGCAAAGAATATGATAAGAAAGAAAGTAAAATGGAGACTCAAATTTGCAATTAAAAAGTTAGACGTTAGATGAAAGAAGAAACGTAAAGGGATCAAAGTGTGGACATTTCATACCGTTCGATTGGTGCAGATGGGGGTGAACGCGTTGGTTCCACAAGTAAACAGCCTGTTTCCATTCACCAGCAGCACCCTGATGTAGTTCTGACATTCCTCCTGCGGAAACACACAAAGACACACACACACAATCGGTTAGAATTTATCACCCACAAAAAAACAACGTCATTATCTATTGATAGGAGATGCAATATATGGGGGGCAGAATTACACTCTGAGCCAATAAATTAGACAGAAACCATGCAACTGCGGGAAGGCTGCCCTAAAACGTGGCCAAGCTTGACAGAGTCAAATCAAGGCTAATGGCCACGAAGCCTAGCTGTGTCACATCTCAATTCAACGGGGACCAGATCTGGAGGGGGATCTAAACAAGATGGAGAACAGATAAATACAGCGGGCGTAGGAGGGGGAGCTAGAGGCTTTAGTTTAAACCGATCAACTAGTGAAATTCAGGAGCTGCTTCTCATTTACACAATTCAATCGCTTGCGTTTGGAGCCTGCTCTCTTCATTAATCAATCCAAACCACTTGTCTGTAATTTATAGTGAAGTACAAGCTCAGTGCTGCCTTTATCTTGCATTCGATTTGGACTTAAAACACCAAACATATAAACTCAAAGCAAGGAGGTGATTGATTGACTGATTAGCCCTTGATTCTGTGAATTCTCCGCATCAGGCTTCATTGCTAGGTTTCCAGGAATTAGCATAAATGAAATTCACATTAAAGGTAACAAAGCAGCCAGCAATCATGTCACGGGGTGGCATTTGTTTTTGCCCTATGTAATAAATGGGCTTCCTCTTCCTGAAAGAGGACACGGCCGGGTTAAAGAGGGGCCTTGGCATAAATTTAAAAGCTTGTAAATCTGCTACTGTCAGAGCTACTCAAGGTGCCCAGGGCAAAACCCCTGTGCCCTCACGGGTCTAATTTAGGAGTCAAGTGTAAGAGAGCTGAAAGGAATAAAGAAAGGAAGTGAGGGAGTTTTATTTCTGCTCAACAGTAGGTCACGGCTCCTTTACTGTTCACAGGCATACATATATATTACAGTCTATGTATGTCTTTTGTTTAAACAAGAGTGTGAATGCATGTTAATTATGTATCCATAGAAGAATAGTGTGTATGTTCCTTTATGAAAGGTTCCCATAAATTGTTCTCCGTCTGTGGTTCTGATACAGATGCTCTTATGCTTAATGAGCTGAGGCTGAACATCTACTATTGTCCTGGTTTAAAATACATCAAATACAGACATGGGTAAATAATACATACATAATTTGAAATGTAAATAAATAAAGACTTAAAACAATAGTAAGATAAATCTGTCGTAGCTTTAGAATTGGTATACAGTCTCACGCCAGGCTAGACCACTAATAAACCACTAAAAGCCCTGTCGAGGCCCTAATGCTATTCTTAGTGAACAGCATCTGATCCTCAGAAGGGAACAGTGAGCAAAACAATTTGACTTCAGCAGACAGCAGTGACTCTCAAGGACTAAGGTAGCTTTGGTCTGTAATTCACAGCTATCATGTGCCGGCCAGCCCTGAGCTGGCCTATTATGGGTCCCTAACCACCTTTCACAGGAGAATAAATACACAGTAGTGCACACGCACACACACACACAAAGACAGAGTGAGTGGGGCAGGGCAGTTCACCCGCAAGTCAAGTTCGGCTCTAAAGCAGCTGTTGGCTACAAAAGAGTGCGCCAGCTAACCACAAAAACATAGTTGAGCGAAGACATGGCAAAAACAATAGGAACTCCTTCTTTGAAAGGTCTATAAATAAGTGTTGAGGTGCGGTTGGGAATTGTTTCACTTCATAACAAGTTGATTTAAATTCTCTTTTAGGTCAGTCCCACATACGAAGCTGGGATTTCCACTGTTTTTTTTTTTAAACATTAGGACTCTACAGAGAGTACATGTTGCTAACAGATTTTTGGTCACATTGATCTGTGGGGACTGGTTCAACACTACAAGTGTGAACACTTGTTTTGTTTTTTTTAAATCTAATTTAACATTTCTTTGCTTTTTCTTTATCATACAGCACCA